CTTGAAACGCAGTTAAATGTAAAGCGAAACAGTGAATGTTGTATTGTTTTTTACCAGTTATTGGTTGTTGTATTTTTCTTTTACTAATAAAAATATTTATTTTAAAAAAAACCAAAAAACCTTGTTTTAACCAGTAGCCGCTTCCCTGTGCTTTGCCGTGTCTTTCCAGCTACTCTTCTTCTCAACCAAGTAGTTACGACCAGAGCACTTACTCCCAGCAGGGCGCCTATGGGCAGCCGAGTAGCTATGGCCAACAGGGTAGCTATGGGCAGCAAAGCAGCTATGGGCAGCAGCCCCCCACCAGCTACCCACCTCCCACTGGATCTTACAGCCAGGCACCAAGCCAATACAGCCAGCAGAGCAGTAGCTACGGGCAGCCAAGTGAGTAACCACCATCTCTCTTTCTCTCCCTCCCTCCCTCCGAACCTTTCAGTCCCGGGTCCCCATTTCCGATAACCAAAGTAGTCCTTGCCTTGCGACCTCAGTTGAGCCCTGGATTTCTGCAGAAATCAAAAGGATTTGCCTCCTTTTACAACCTTTCTGGCCCGAATTGTAAAGCGAATCCCAGCAGCTGTTAAGTTAGTAAGACGGCGGTGAAAGTGAATCTGACTTGCCCATTGGCTTTGCAAAAAGGGGGCTCGTATGAGACACCGCAACCGTCATAAGTACATGCCAGTTGCCAAGCCGCCTCCAAATTTTGAATCACGTGACCCCGGGCGATGCTGACACCGTTGTAAATGTGAAAAGCAGCCTTCCGTCCCTTTTTCGGTGCCGTAACATTGGGCGAGTTAAAACCCTTAAAACAACCGGTTGTAAGTCAAGGACTGCCTTGTTCCTCTCTTTATAGAGATCTCCTCCTGCCAGATCCAGCTCTGAATCTCTCGCTTGCCTTTTTAAATCCAGCGTTTCAGTTGTTTTAGGCTTGTTCCATGTCACTGACAGAAACATAAACGAAGCTTTTTTTAAGATTTCTGCTAGAGGTTTTGGTCTCAGCGATGCAGGAAACGCTCCTGTTCTCTGGCCTTTTCTTCCCCTTGTTGAAGGAGTCACAAAAGCTGTCTCTTTGTTCCGTTCGAACTTACTCCCTGTAGTAGCAAAAGGGATGCTTCTTTTAGCGGGGCGGTTGCCAAGCGTCGAGCCAGTGGGTAGAGTTTCCTTCAAGTCCTTCTCCTCCTCCCACTGACACTCCTCTGCAACCGTCTCGGGGGCCGTCTCGGTGGTCTTGCCAGGGGCCGCAGCCGCGTCCTTAACCCTGTGTGAATTGTTCCTTAGGTTCATTCCGCCAAGACCATCCCAGCAACATGGGTGTGTATGGCCAAGACTCTGGAGGCTTTTCTGGCCCAGGAGAAAGCCGGAGCTTGAGCGGCCCTGAAAACAGGGGCAGGGGAAGAGGGGGATTTGATCGTGGAGGCGTGAGCAGAGGTGGGCGGGGAGGAGGAGGCCGCGGCGGAATGGGGTAAGAGTAAACCTTTTTCTTCCTTCCTTCCTCTCGTTAATTTGATTTTTTAAACCCTGTATAGGGTGTGCGGCAGCGAGAAGGGCTGAAAGAGAAGCCAGAGCAAAATGGCTTTTTTCCTCTCTCCCATGGAGGAGTTGTTATTAATAGCAAGTAGCTGTTACGGCTAATTAATCCATGGAACAATCTCCTTAAGGGGAAACTAGGCGCAGGATGGATTTTCCCTGCAGCGCTGGGAGCCGGGTCACCAGAGGGCTTTTGGGGGGCCTAAATTCATGAAACTTTCAGCTGCCTTCCACACGGAACAGAGGGAGGGGGCCGTCCTCTGTGGGTTGAACACACACACACACATCCAAGGGATATCTCCATGTTATTATGCCTTTGCTCCTCTGGCTGGTTTTCGTCTTGCTGTTTGAGGTATATATGTATACTAAGGTGCCCCCCCCCCCCCCAATTGCTTTTTGGTTATAAACCCTTTCCTTGTTCTAGCACTCTTTGCTCTTGGCAATAGCTCCTTTTGAGTTGGTGGCAGAGCTGCCCGCGTGGAAGCCTCGGCCACTTTCTCAAGCCCCACGATAGCTCTGGTGTGGCCACTGCCTTCGTGCCAGGCTTTGGCGAGAATGCCCAGCCACGCCCCCCCCCCCCTAAACAGTCACAAAGAAGCCGAGAGATCTCGGAGCGCAGCAGCTCCCCGAAGGAGCTTTTCAAAAGGTTACCCCTAAATCAGTTCTGCCATTTCCAGCGATGGCGGGATCTGGTTTGGGAAGCTTGCTCCGTCCGTTCTTGTTGCCCCGTTGATTGATTGATTTAAGGTTTTAAAAAAAAGGCACGGTGGTCGATCGAGGATCTTTTGATAACTGAAGGTGCCGTTTTGTGTATGTTTTATGTGTGCGCGTGTGTGTGTGTTCTACCCACGTATGCCACGCTACGCAGAGGGGCCCGCTCGGCAAACCCGATTGGATTGAGGGACGGGGGAAGAAAAAGGGTTCCAGCTGTTATCACACTTAATGTGACACGCACCTACCCCGCTCCATTGGGTCTGATCATGCGCATAAACCAAAGCGCCCCTCTGCATAGTTGAAGCACGGATGAGGCCACGTGGTTTGAAATCTTTATTGCTCAGTCATTCGCTTGATTTAATGACCTCAAAACCAATTCGCTTAATGACCCTTTTAACCCTGCTGAAGAAGTAACCCTTTGGGATTGGCGTGAATGGTAAAAGGGCTCCGTAGTTTTATATGTAAACAATTTCATTTGTTAGGCCTTCCTAGATGTGTTTTAAAAATTAAGACGTAGACACTTGAAATGGCCATCACCACATCTCTCTCCTCCCCTTCTCCCCCTTTCTTTTAAATCTCAAACTCACCTCTAGCCTTTTTTAACCACAGGGCAACAATCCCAGTGTCTTCAGGTCCATTCAGGTGCCCATAATGCCACTTTAAATTGAAAATGGGAAGGGGAGGAGGGGGTTCCTTTTGCTATTGGCAGTAGACAAATCGTACCTCAAGGCTGGCCCGGTGATGCCACCCCAGGGTTGGTGAGGGGTCCCTCGGTCCCGGTGTGGTGATGCATTTCAGTCTCTATCCTGAAAGGTAAGGAGCCCGATGTTCTTAACATGATGCCCTTTTTTTTTTCACTGCCTCAGTATTTTTATATTTTCACTGGCTGTTAAACATGGAAACTTTTTAACATGCTTTGTCGCATTTATATGCTACAGGTTACAAAGTGAGATCCTTGTATACACTTCAGTACTTAAAAAGTACCCGTATTCAGTACTCAGCCGGCAGCATAATGAAAAGTGGGACTAGACACGGTGTCCATATGGAGAGGAAAAAATTATATATATATATATATATATATATACACCTAGAATATTTTTTTTAAACCAAATGTGTACAATTGTATAAATGGAAACCTTCTGTAACTTTGGTAACTGCATATAGTAATTTCATGTTTGGTAATGAAACTTAGAGGGGAGGTGTAATAACTTTAGAATTGTGTAAAATTAAAAGT